GTATGGACTTACCGAAACAAAGCGTCAAAAATGCAAATTCAACTTATAAAGTTGAAAAATAACGCGATGAAAAAAAACGCGCGAAATCGGAGTTCAAACGTTTCACTAATTTTCCCCAGACTTTTCTGGGGAATACGGGTTTCAACAGCTGGCTGCGCTCATAGCACGTAAGCAGTGAAACAGGTTCGGCGCAACTTGAAGCCGGGCTGTCTGGTGAATACTCTGTGAAGGCTTTGGTGTGAGCTAGTTTCCTAATGTTTTGTTGATATCTCACAGGCGCTTGAGCTTTTGTATGTTATGACAGTAAATAAACTGTTTATATAATTTCATTTGTCTATTTCACCACACGTTCTTCTTACCGAGTCACTTTCTCAGTTCGATACTTAAAAGCATTATTTAGAGTTGACCACGATTTCTAACTGTGATATAGATATGTCGCTGTCACAGACAAAACTCAATGTCTTGTTTTATTGACACCAGTGTGTCTGCCTGCCTGTCTGCTAATGACAATATTCAATACACAACTGCGATCACTGACCACATGCAATTTGAACTTAACACCAATCAGGCTATACACCATAAACAAAACGCATTGATTTATGGCTTGAGTTCGGTCTCTGTCACATTATGTAATTACACAGACAGGCAGGTGTGATACTTGAACACATGACATGTTATGATGTCTGTTAATTGCAAAATGTTATACACAAAAAATGAGCATGTATTTACAAAACCCAACTTTCTATATATACACACACACAATGAGCCGTGAAGGCGGCATCTGCTAATGAACCATCCGTTACACTTGAGTGCACACCCACTCGAGGGAGGTAAACCCAAGTACCAAATATTGCACTTTTGATTTGCGATTATACGCTTATAATATTGTTTATTTTCTTTTTTCATAATCAGCAATGCATATTATATGTCATGAAGAAGTGATAATTGTGTTTTAATTATAAGTAAAAGAATGTCCTACAGCAAGATTTATTCAAGTTCCATGAAGTTAATTATTCTTCAGCCAAACAAGTTTACAACTTTTTTTCCAGTTAATTATGATATTATCATACTACATATATATATGAAAGAAATAAGGAATCTTATTCACGGTAACAAGGAACTATAAATTTTAATTACAAGCACATCAAAGCTGTCATCATGTTGGATTAAGTAAAATAGAACCCCTCATTTTGAGATTCTACAACATACTTTGAGCTGTTTAAATAGGGGAGTGAGTTAAGTTCAAAAACATTTTAAACAATATTCTAGTTATATCATGTTAATGCGCAAGGAAATCTGAAAGCACAACAAGTCATAGACTTTATGACTTTCGTGAAACTAATGGGTGTATATTGACCACAACAAGGCCAGTCTGAGATTTAAACACACAACCAGGACACCTCTGCACAGCAAAGGGAGGCCACTCTCCCCAGCATGATGAATCATCTTGGATCACAGAGCCACCTATACCCTCTAGTAATGATAATATGGTGCAGATATCAACATCAAATCTCACATAGATAAATGAAATATTGATCCTACAAATACCACAATAATAATCACACATCATGAAAATAACACAAAGCAAATGTGCAAATAATCTATTAAGCATGGGATGGGAACTAGAGACAATAAACACATGGTTCGAGGGAGAGAACAAAATGGTTGGTGATACATCATCTGAAGCCGCTGGTTCCTGTGTATGACCTTCACAAACTTCTGATGTCTGTGGGGCAGGTATAGTAGTTCGGTGCTGTGTAATTTGTCCCAGTGGTATGCTTGTACAAGTCTCCCACAAGGAAAGTTAATTATGACCAACCATATTTTGGATGTATGATGACAGAACAGTCTCCTTATTGATGAAGAAGTTTATCATGTCAGACATACAAGCATGGTCTCAACATAGATTTGATTAAACAGTCATCTACATTCCTTTCCTATACCCTCCCCTTTAGCTCTAGAAGTCTGCACCCATCCACTTCTATTTAGCTCTAGAAGTCTGCACCCATCCCCTTCTAATTAGCTTGAGAAGCCTGAACTCATTCCCTTCTAATGAGCTTGAGAAGCCTGCACTCATCCCCTTCTCTTTAGATCTAGAAACCTGAACTCATCCCCTTCTATTTAGCTCTAGAAGTCTGAACTCATCCCCTTCTCTTTAGCTCTAGAAACCTGAACCCATCCCCTTCTTATTAGCTCTAGAAGTCTGAACTCCCCTTCTCTTTAGCTCTAGAAGCCTGAACCCATCCCCTTCTAATTGGCTTGAGAAACCTGAACTCATCCCCTTCTCTTTAGCTCTAGAAATCTGAACACATCCCCTTCTCTTTAGCTCTAGAAATCTGAACACATCCCCTTCTCTTTAGCTCTAGAAACCTGAACTCATCCCCTTCTCTTTAGCTCTAGAAGTCTGAACACATCCCCTTCTCTTTAGCTCTAGAAGTCTGAACCCATCCCCTTCTCTATAGCTCTAAAAATCTGAACTCATCCCCTTCTCTTTAGCTCTAGAAGCCTGAACTTATCCTCAGGTCCAGCAGATTTTCTCATTCTCTTTCAGCTCTGAAATTTCGAGACATGAGGGTTCCTAATTTCTCCAGGGTTGCCTTAAGAATTTATTCTATTTAACCTCAAAAGGAACTTTATATTGGATACTATGTGTTAATCTATTTTAGGTATACAGCTTCATAGATTCCACAAACAACCTCAATCAAGGTCTAATGCAGTAACACTCTTTCATGATTTATAAACTAATGCTTGTGTTGGTATTAGAGCTGTACTGCGGACTTTTAGCTTAGATTTCTTATGATCATTAAAAGGGTTTTGTTGCTTTTATTTGACATGACAAGCCACAGGCAAAGATCAAACCTTAAAGATTAATATCGGATATGTACATGCTGGGAGTTACTGCAACTAGTCAGTCACTGTGGTGTTGAAGATGAAAATAGTTTGGGTTATTTGGGTTCAGCACAACTAGAAACTGATCACTAACTAAGGAGTACATGTAGCGGGGCGTGGAGTCATTCCCCAGATGACATCCTTGTCTTGTCAGCTTGTTGACGGGGTTAACCTCTTTGTTCATGTGGACAAGGCGTCCGACTTCGGATCAGAAGGTCCGTGGTTCGAATCCCAGCACGGTACATTGGTGCCCAATGTGGGGGCTTAGCACGTTCACATTTAATTTGCGCAAAGTAAGTCTCAGCAACCTCCTGTGCGGCTTGGGACGTGCCTTCTGTTGACGGAGGAGTTTGTAGCAGGGCGCAGAGTCATCCCATAGATGACATCCTTACCTTGTCAGCTTGCTGATGGGGTTAACCTCTTTGGTCATGTGGACAAGCCATCGGACTTCGGATCAGAAAATCCGTCTGAACTTTTATGGCCGCTACATGCACAAGGACCAAGCTTTTACTTTGAGACAAAACAGAATCTGATACAAAAGTATTTGACTGTATCAACATTTTCAGTATCTACTTACAGCAAGAAGTAATCCCATCATACAACAGTTATGTTACCTCCACGAAGGGCTGGGGATACAGTGAATGAATCATGCCTCCTCTTGAATGAATTTAGCTGCAGCTTGATTGACCTCGACAACCACATCTTTTATCTGCATGATATCGTGTTTGGAAGATTACCAACAACAAAAAGTCTTGCTTAACAAAGACTGATCATGTGCTTGAAATATTTCATTTCTAGTGAGGGAGTAAATGCTGTGTAACGTCGCCAGCAACAGTATTCCTGTGTGTCATGGCAGTTGGTAAATGATCCAGACCACGGAAACAATATAAACTAGCCAGTAATAATCTTTTCTGTACATGCTGCTTAAAGAATGACAAATGGTAACAGGGTGTATTTTAAAACCATACACAAGCCAAAGTTGTTGTCAGAGGTCAAACTTGTAGAAATATTGATGTGGAGAACAGATGTAGTTCAAACAGTCATGAAACTGAAAAAAAAACATGATAAAAAAGTTGCTGTGTTGACTATATGAAGGATCAGGAACTTGTCTCTTCTCATGCTGACTGCAAGGTTAAACACAGTGCATGGTACTAAAACACAATATGTCCAGATAGGACTGAATGTTGGTGCATGTTGGAGTGACGTTTATTACACTAAATACGGTAATGTGTGGGCAGAGATGATGTAACCTCTCTACAAGGTTATGTCACATCAGTTTAATGTGGTGTCTGGCTATGTATAACTATGGTAAGAAGCTACATCTGGACAGCTTCTAACAAGACAGCAGACAGTAATTCACATTAGTAATTAAATCACTTTTACAAGTGAGACTTTGCAATAAATGATGTTGCTGAAAGTTTCTGTCTCAATAGATTGTCATGACTGAGTGAGTGAGTGAGATGGGATTTGCATGGCTGACAGTGCCAGCATTACAGTCACAACACAACATGTAAAGCGAGTGACTCTCTGAACATAGATGTCGTACAGGTGTTTAACACAAACTCATGAAGGATTACATTGATAAACCGAGCCATAAAATCTGGCATATATTCTGAGATTTGAATCCATCATTACCAGATCCTGTAATTGCTAAGGGAGGTTACACTAGAAAGCAAAGTGTGGTGTCTGGGGCCATAACCTCAATTCATACTTTAAATCTTTTAGAGTAATACAGAAACTTGAATTTATTGAAAAGTTCATATATTTTATACCCCAAAATGGCAAAATGGCAATACAAATGAGTTTACTTATCAAAGTTGGACTAAAATTTAAGGATAATATTATGATTTTTAAAAGTTGAAAGTAGAAGATAACCCCAAAAATAATTTACTGCACATCTTTCTTGATTACCTAAACTGTGTCATGTATTTCAAGTATGTTTGATCTGGATAACGTTCAGATCACGCCACACCAATCATAGCGTGAATGTGAAGGATAAACACACTAGTTTTCTGAATAAATATCTGGTTATGACAGAAAAAAGGTTTCCCATTAACACCCATGTCAGCCACACCATCTTATTAGCATGGCAGGGAATGCCCTGTGTTGTCTTAGAAGACGTAGATCACAATGTACATACCAGTCAACATATTTTCCTCAAAATCCCATTCCTCCTGAGATTGCATGAGTTCCTGTAAGAGTCTCCCTGTCTCAACCACTGGAATACATTGACCAGACTGACCGACTAACTATGAAAGCAAGCTTCACCAGCTTGGCATAGTGGCTTCAACGGCATCTACTTGCCATGCACCAGTTAAAATAAGGAATAGCTACAACAAGTCCTATCTACAACTGGTACTATTCTTGGAACTTTCTGATGACTGTGGTACCAACAATGTGCCATGAAATTACTTCTGCCATTAAACCAAACACTGGTAATATCCTGTTAACACTATCACACGAAGAGGCCATTTCGGCAATACCGCTGTAAAGCTAGGCACTCCAGTTACACAGAAACGTCATCTGATGCCTGATGGTCATCTGACGACTGATGACTTCAAATGCAAGCAAAATGTATAGGAAACTTATAATGATCATCAGGTTCACATCGTTCATTCTGTAATTGAATACTTGAAAGAAAAAAGAAGAAATCGCTTTTTAGATGTTTTTTTAGAAGTTGATCTCAAATCTGAATACTGTGACTTATCACAGCTGAGTTTGATGATGTGTATATCACCAGCTTAAGATATATATATATATATATATAATAGATTATACACAATAAGAATATGCAATATCGTTATGGATCATGTACATGTACATTATCTAACACATGCAGTTCCAGGGTAGAATTGATTCCGTAAAACCCATGCTTGTTGAAAGAAACGACTAAAAAAGAAGCAAAAACCCTTTCCACATCCATGGGAAACCTCTGCTAAAAGCAGATTGTACAATTCTGACAATATCATGAGTATATATTTGTTTCAGCAGTATTACAGCTGTACAATGTACTTGTTAGGTTGCCTGTCAGGAGTGGGACTTCACTCAGAATTCCAATCACTGGTTTGTCTGGTCTGTGTGGACAATTTTGTCAACTGTAACATTGCTGGAATATTGCTGACTACCTACAGCCATGAACAAGACCATATTGCAATGGCCAAGTTTACTGATATCACCCCAGTCATCTCTACAGGGATTGGTTTTATGAGTTCAGTTAGGACATACGTGTTTTGATATGAAATTCTGGTATGCCTCGCAAGTACAACATTTAACCAAATGGCAGATTTTAATCAATTAAATAATTTTAAATATACTTTAAAAAATGGTAAAGAGAAAGGTGCATTATTTCAGTGAACATACATTAATGTATCTTCAACGGTCACACTTGGTTCTGTATTGGCTGAAAATCAGCTGTGGCTTCATGTAACCCAGCTAGTGATGGGATGAGAGAAAATGTGGAACAACGGTTCAAATTAATAAATTCATGTCACTTTTTAAAAGGGTATGATTAAAAAACTTAATAATGGATTCATAATGGCTACAAAAATGTCCACAGTAGACTCTCAATAGATCTTTTCACTGTTTTATATTATTAATATTTATTAATAAATTACATGTGATTCAAAGCATGACCTTCAAGCACTTAATGGCTGTATAAGTTACGAAGATAATATTTCTGAAATAGTGGAATAAACGAATACTGAATGAGTTCTAGAACAGCGAGTCATGCATCCATGTGTGAACACTGCGAGGTCATTGAATGCAATAACTAGCGTATAATTGCAGCACAATAAGGATTCCATGTAATGTAAAGTAAGTGGAGTCTGTCCAGAATAATCAATGTAACTTTTGGTCAAGTTCACAATTATTCCCTGTGTGTCAGAGCATTAATCAAGCCAGTGAGACAGCTTCAATGGATTCCTCAGGGAACAACCACTGGTATGGCACTGCTCGTAGTTTGTCCACAAAGCTGAAGGCAAGATCGGAAAGGCCTCTACAATTTCCACTCAATAAAACTTGTTAGCTTTACATACACGAAACATGTGTTTTGTAATTGGGTAACAACTGTCCGGACCTCCAGGTTAATATAGAGGGAATTAACACAACTGAAGGACAATCACATTGGATTCATTTAGAAATTCGGAATAAAGTTTTTGCAGTTTATTTGTCACAGTAAGTAAGTAATGCAATTGACACAATGTTGATATGATTTTTAATTATCTAAAAAAGTAACATATTATGTGATTAGTCATATGAGTAATATTCTATACTTGTATATAATATCTTCCTAATGGCTGATCATGTTTTTCGTCACAAGTTTTGAAGATAATCTGATCTGAGCCACAGCTGATAGCACTAATTCTATATTCTTTCAACAAGTAATATGTAAGTTGTGGACTTCCCATCAACATAACGTTTTCCATGCACATCTCAGTACCTTATATATACTGACAGCCTCACAACTTACTGGAAATATTTTAATAATTTATGTTAGACTTCATACCTGGAAAGCCAGGTATGCAGAAAGTATTGTGTTGTACATGCAAGCTTCATTAGGTACAGTGAGGCCACATGACTGGGTCTAGCGACAAAAAATACATAAAATTGAATAATAATGCGAAACACGACTCATCAGCTGGAATATCTCGTACAGCCCTGATCAACCACAGGTAATGGTAAACAAACTCAATACACCTACACTCTTTGTTCATCAACAAATGGGAATCATACAAACAGGTTATAGTCCAGATATTCAGTTGAAGTTACTTACAAGCAGCTTGCTTTTACACACATATGACCAAAAATGATCTGATAACAAATATTCATCTCAGACAGGACAACAAAAATAATGACGCAAGTTGGAAAACATAAGAATGTTTTTCTGGTATTTCACTCAACACAAGTTGTATTTCAGTGTATGCTAGACTAGAGGCACAAGAAAGCCCGGTGCTTGGTAGACTGCAGACACCCTCTCAGGGAGTGTACTGCTTGTATCACACACTGTACAAGCAAGACCACTAGTGCCAGCGCGCTCTCTCTCTGTCATCAGTCTCAAACCAGTCACTCAAGTTGAAATCAAAGAGTTCAATGATAAGTTATTGAATAATAATTCCTACCTTTTTGTTTGTAGGTCTGACTAAATCCGTATTTGTGTATACTCCTGCTGCGGTATTTCCTTAGCTGGCATCCTGGAACAGCCTGTAACACATAACATACAGGCAGAGTTACTCTCACAGCTGAATGCAATCACTGTGCCATAGCTACTGTATGCATGTGTGGGATACCGTACTGTCTCTGGTGTAGGTGTCTGTGACATAGCTACTGTATGCATGTGTGGGATACCGTACTGTCTCTGGTGTAGGTGTCTGTGACATAGCTACTGTATGCATGTGTGGGATACCGTACTGTCTCTGGTGTAGGTGTCTGTGTCATAGCTACTGTATGCATGTGTGGGATACCGTCAGACTGTCTCTGGTGTAGGTGTCTGTGTCATAGCTACTGTATGCATGTGTGGGATAATCGTGACTGTCTCTGGTGTAGGTGTCTGTGACATAGCTACTGTATGCATGTGTGGGATACCGTACCGTCTCTGGTGTAGGTGTCTGTGTCATAGCTACTGTATGCATGTGTGGGATACCGTACTGTCTCTGGTGTAGGTGTCTGTGACATAGCTACTGTATGCATGTGTGGGATACCGTACTGTCTCTGGTGTAGGTGTCTGTGTCATAGCTACTGTATGCATGTGTGGGATACCGTACTGTCTCTGGTGTAGGTGTCTGTGTCATAGCTACTGTATGCATGTGTGGGATACCGTACTGTCTCTGGTGTAGGTGTCTGTGACATAGCTACTGTATGCATGTGTGGGATACCGTACTGTCTCTGGTGTAGGTGTCTGTGACATAGCTACTGTATGCATGTGTGGGATGCAATTACTGTCTCTGGTGTAGGTGTCTGTGACATAGCTACTGTATGCATGTGTGGGATACCGTACTGTCTCTGGTGTAGGTGTCTGTGTCATAGCTACTGTATGCATGTGTGGGATACCGTACTGTCTCTGGTGTAGGTGTCTGTGTCATAGCTACTGTATGCATGTGTGGGATACCGTACTGTCTCTCTGTGTAGGTGTCTGTGATAGCTACTGTATGCATGTGTGGGATACCGTTACTGTCTCTGGTGTAGGTGTCTGTGTCATAGCTACTGTAAGCATGTGTGGGATACCGTACTGTCTCTGGTGTAGGTGTCTGTGACATAGCTACTGTATGCATGTGTGGGATACCGTACTGTCTCTGGTGTAGGTGTCTGTGTCATAGCTACTGTATGCATGTGTGGGATAATCGTACTGTCTCTGGTGTAGGTGTCTGTGACATAGCTACTGTATGCATGTGTGGGATACCGTACTGTCTCTGGTGTAGGTGTCTGTGTCATAGCTACTGTATGCATGTGTGGGATACCGTACTGTCTCTGGTGTAGGTGTCTGTGACATAGCTACTGTAAGTATGTGTGGGATACCGTACTGTCTCTGGTGTAGGTGTCTGTGACATAGCTACTGTATGCATGTGTGGGATACCGTACTGTCTCTGGTGTAGGTGTCTGTGACATAGCTACTGTATGCATGTGTGGGATACCGTACTGTCTCTGGTGTAGGTGTCTGTGACATAGCTACTGTATGCATGTGTGGGATACCGTGTCTCTGGTGTAGGTGTCTGTGTCATAGCTACTGTATGCATGTGTGGGATACCGTACTGTGGGATGTCTGTGACATAGCTACTGTATGCATGTGTGGGATACTCTGTCTCTGGTGTAGGTGTCTGTGTCATAGCTACTGTATGCATGTGTGGGATACCATGTGGGATAACCGTGACTGTCTCTGGTGTAGGTGTCTGTGTCATAGCTACTGTAAGTATGTGTGGGATACCCGTGCTGTCTCTGGTGTAGGTGTCTGTGACATAGCTACTGTAAGTATGTGGGGATACCGTACTGTCTCTGGTGTGTAGGTGTCCGTGCTGTCTCTGGTGTAGGTGTCTCGTGACATAGCTACTGTAAGTATGTGTGGGATACCGTACTGTCTCTGGTGTAGGTGTCTGTGACATAGCTACTGTAAGTATGTGTGGGATACCGTACTGTCTCTGGTGTAGGTGTCTGTGACATAGCTACTGTATGCATGTGTGGGATACCGTACTGTCTCTGGTGTAGGTGTCTGTGTCATAGCTACTGTATGCATGTGTGGGATACCGTACTGTCTCTGGTGTAGGTGTCTGTGACATAGCTACTGTATGCATGTGTGGGATACCGTACTGTCTCTGGTGTAGGTGTCTGTGACATAGCTACTGTAAGTATGTGTGGGATACCGTACTGTCTCTGGTGTAGGTGTCTGTGACATAGCTACTGTAAGTATGTTTTACTGTGACACAGCCAGAGTCTTCATGACTGGCATACCATATTATTTCTTGTTTTGGTATTGATGCTATCGCTATGTCTTGTTTGAATGAGTGGGTCAAGGCACACACACATGCACGCACGCTCGCACACACACACACGTATCTAGTCTTATGTCTGGTAAGCTTTAGTGTCTGCACATTAAGATGAAATGCAGTATGAACCAAACACAGATTTGAATAACTGCACTACAAACATAAGAAGAGTCATCACAAATTTTACGAAAAATCACAGCAATGATTTGTTCATAGCAATGTCCTTCAAAGTACACACCACATGATTCTGGTCTTGGCAGCAAAGGGTATAGTTTTATAACAACCAGCCCCACAGATGATTAGTGAGGGTCAAGATCTGAGAGGCTGGCCAGTGTCCAGGAACATGATCTCAGCCAGCCAGTACTGTACTGACCACATACATCATACTTCTAGAGACATACATCATACTTCTAGAGACATACATTGATGACAGTTCTGTATGCTGTCCTGCTGGGAGAGAAATAGTGGGATTCAAGTGAAGGACAGCAGATGGTTGATGATGACGGTATGTCAGTTTCTCGTATAGTTTCAGCCATGCTATACAAAACAGGATAACAAACTATTTTTCATATAAGTGTGCCCTGACCATGATTTAAATATGTTTCTAGGTCCATCAAAGGTCAAAGGTCACATATGTTCATATTTGGTCAACATGCTTATTAATCTTGTACAGTGTTAGGCAGCAAGTTTTAAACATAATGTGTGTTGGAGAACACCATGGGCTTAGAGGTTACCACCCAATAACTGAACCCAATATATTGTGATGGCCAGCTTCATTCTGTTTAATGCTTTAATTCTCACAGTTTTGTAGAAAGAAAATGAAAAAGTTAAACTTCAAATTTTCCTTTTCCTTTTCAACCCCTGTAATTGAGAATGAAAAGAAACAGATATTTCAAAGTTGCTTGTTAAAAAAATTACAAGGCTGAATTTGAAATTGAGATTTTGAATATGTTTAAACTTTAATTTCAACCGTAAGAACATCAACTGATTCCTTCTGAGATATTTAAATACCCATGCAATTCAAATCTTTCAAAAAAAGGGGTTTTGCATTGTGTGGTTATAAAAAATGTGATATAAAAGGACATGGTGGCAGATACTTTTGTCTGCACGCATGCAAAAAAAGGTTATTATCCACAAGTTCAGTTTTCTGGATTTTAAATTGAAATTTACATTTGCATAAGCTAATTATGTTGCCATCTATTGCAGTAATACATTAGCCAGCATACAAGCCATTGGGCAGAGTTTTGTGTGCTTCTTGCACAGTGTTGATAAATAACAACAACTGCTGCCCTTTACAAAGCAATAACAACTCAACCAGTTGATTTACGTAAGTGGTTCATCTGCCTTCATGTTATTGTTTCTAATTCATAAGAAAAGGCCAGTTCAGTATTGTCAAACCTCTTCTTGAAGCTGAATATGGGGTAGAGGGATAGCCTAGTGGTTAAAGCGTTCGCTCATCACGCCAAAGACCAATGTTCGATTCCCCACATGGGTACAATGTGTAAAGCCTATTTCTGGTGTCCACCGTGGTAATATTGCTGGAACATTGCTAAAAGTGGTGTAAGTGGTAATATTGCTGGAACATTGCTAAAAGTGGTAATATTGCTGGAACATTGCTAAAAGTGGTGTAAGTGGTAATATTGCTGGAACATTGCTAAAAGTGGTATAAGTGGTAATATTGCTGGAACATTGCTAAAGGTGGTATAAGTGGTAATATTGCTGGAACATTGCTAAAGGTGGTATAAGTGGTAATATTGCTGGAACATTGCTAAAGGTGGTATAAGTGGTAATATTGCTGGAACAGTGGTAATATGCTAAACAGTGGTATAAGTGGTAATATTGCTGGAACATTGCTAAAGGTGGTATAAGTGGTAATATTGCTGGAACATTGCTAAAGGTGGTATAAGTGGTAATATTGCTGGAACATTGCTAAAAGTGGTGTAAGTGGTAATATTGCTGGAACATTGCTAAAGGTGGTATAAGTGGTAATATTGCTGGAACATTGCTAAAAGTGGTATAAGTGGTAATATTACTGGAACATTGCTAAAAGTGGTGTAAGTGGTAATATTGCTGGAACATTGCTAAAAGTGGTGTAAGTGGTAATATTGCTGGAACATTGCTAAAAGTGGTATAAGTGGTAATATTGCTGGAACATTGCTAAAAGTGGTAGACATAACTCTCTGTACTTTAAAACACAACAATCTATTCTAATGCACAACTCTTAATACTTAAACACATAAAACACAACAATCTAATCCAATATGCATATCTCAATACTTTAATTCATAACTTGCTGTGTCAATACATAACTCACTATATTTTGATACAAAACTCTACATTTTAATACATGATTCTCTACATTTTAAACCCGTGAAGGTCCGGGTTAGAATGAACCTTCAGTAACCCATGCTTGGCGTAAGAGGTGACTAACGGGATCGGGTGGTCAGACTCGCTGGCTTGGTTGACTCATGTCATCGGTTCCCAATTGCGCAGATCGATGCTCATAATGTTGATCACTGGATTGTCTGGTCCAGACTCGATTATTTACAGACTGTCACCATATAGCTGGAATATTGCTGAGTGCGGCGTAAAACTAAACCCACTCATTCACTCACTCACTCTCTACATTTTAATACACAGGTTCTCTAAATAATTATACATGACTCTCTATATTTTAATCCATAACTCACATTTCGTTTACACATAAGTCCCCATATTTTGATACGTTAGTGTATGTGAGTAATCTGTGTCATCTCTTGTCATGCAAACTGGGTGTTGTTTGGTTCATTTTAGTCATGAAAATTTCTCAACACTGGATTATTTTGCAGCCAATTGTGAGAGGTAGATAATATACATCACAATGCAACACAAGCTCAGTCGTCCACAGTTAATGTTACTAAATATATATATATATATATATATATATATATATATGAATCTGAATCTGACAATCTGTGTTTATTTATTAGTTTCCTTTTTGAAACATAATTGTAAAATATAGATTTTCTACTAAATATTTTTCCAGAAAATAGATTGTGAATCCAATAACAACTCAATATTACATTCACAAGGAATATCTTCACAATGTTCTGATTCCCAGCATTGTCTGTTAAGTTAATGGCGTGTATTGAAAATAGGTCATATGGCAATCATTAGTATTAATTTCAATCCTTTCAATGGTTACTCCTGTACATGCAGTTGTATGATCAATTGTGACAAACAATTTCATGATTGCCAGACATAAGTTGGCCTTTTCTGGACATATCTAGCAAAAAATGAAACAAGTACGATTTACAAAATACTTCCATACTAAATGATAAACGATTTCCCTAGCCACAGCTGTGACAACCCAGTGTTCGTTTCCACACCTAATTTTGAAGCACAAGTTTGAATTTGAAATTATAATTAAAGCAAATATATACCAGCACTGTAAATGCACTTTACCAAACATCCAAACTTTTCACAGCTACTGATTATATCCCTGATTTATAGCAATATTCATGATTTACAGCCTATATTCATGATTTACAGCCTATATTCATTATTTACAGCTACCAGTTATATCCCTGATTTACAAATATATTCCTGATTTACAGCTACCAGGTATATTCATGATTTATATACTATATTCATTATTTACAACCTATATTCATGATTTACAGCTACCAGTTATATCCCCGATTTACAAATATATTCCTGATTTACAGCTACCAGGTATATTCATGATTTGTATACTATATTCATTATTTACAACCTATATTCATGATTTACAGCTACCAGTTATATCCCTGATTTACAAATATATTCCTGATTTACAGCTACCAGGTATATTCATGATTTACAGACTATATTCATGATTTACAACCTATATTCATGATTTACAGCTACCAGTTATATCCCTGATTTACAAATATATTCCTGATTTACAGCTACCAGGTATATTCATGATTTACAGCAATATTCATGATTTACAGCCTATATTCATGATTTACAGCCTATATTCATTATTTACAGCTACCAGGTATATTCATGATTTACAGACTATATTCATGATTTACAGCTACCAGGTATATTCATGATTTACAAATATATTCCTGATTTACAGCTACCAGGTATATTCATGATTTACAGCAATATTCATGATTTACAGCCTATATTCATGATTTACAGCTACCAGTTATATCCCTGATTTACAAATATATTCCTGATTTACAGCTACCAGGTATATTCATGATTTACAGACTATATTCATGATTTACAGACTATATTCATGATTTACAGCTACCAGGTATATCCATGATTTACAAATATATTCCTGATTTACAGCTACCAGGTATATCACGATTTACACTCTATGATCCTGATTTACAGCTATTTTCCTGATTTACAGCTACCAGGTATGTTCCAGATTTACAGCTATATTCATGATTCGTACATGTAATCAAACTGAAGCACACAGCTCAATCAACACAATTTATATCAGTCAGATTGTTACAATGTGTTCATTCAACTCTTAGTAATAGCACTGTCTCAAAAACAGGGAACAGTCTTCCTGCCATCATACTTGGAGAAAGTTCTCTCTCAAAGTATCAATACTCCTTGAAGACAGCAAATAATTCTGGTACAGAAGAATCTGTATGTTCATCAGCAAAATGATGATATATATGACATCAGTTAACGTGACAGGAGAGGCATGGACATGATGAAAGGCTGGTGCTACTGAACACCATGAGTTGGTGCTTCTCACTTAGCTTCCATGTAACACACTTCAACATGTGAGGGCGGTGGGGTAGGCTTGAGAGTGTTTGGTGGGGTAGGCTTGAGAGTGTTTGGTGGGGTAGGCTTGTCTGAGGGTGGTGGGGGAGGCTTGTGTGAGGGTGGTGGGGGGAGGCTTGTGTGAAGGTGGTGGGGAGGCTTGAGTGAGGGTGGTGGGGGAGGCTTGCCTGAGGGTGGTGGGGAGGCTTGTGTGAGGGTGGTGTGGTAGGCTTGTGTGACGGCTGTGGGGTAGCCTTGTGTGAGAGTGGTGTGGTAGGCTTGTGTGAGGGTGGTGGGGGAGGCTTGTGTGAGGGTGGTGTGGTGGGCTTGTGTGAGGGTGGTGGGGGAGGCTTGTGTGAGGGTGGTGTGGTGGGCTTGTGTGAGGGCTGTGGGGTAGCCTTGTGTGAGAGTGGTGTGGTAGAGCTGGTGAGGGTGGTGGTGGAGGCTTGTGTGAGGGTGGTGTGGTAGGCTTGTGTGAGGGGCTGTGGGGTATAGCCTTGTGTGAGGGTGGTGTGGTGGGCTTGTGTGTGAGGGGTGGTGTGGTGGGCTTGTGTGAGGGTTGGTGGGGAGGCTTGTGTGTGAGGGTGGTGGGGAGGCTTGTGTGAGGGTGGTGTGGTGGGCTTGTGTGAGGGCTGTGGGGTAGCCTTGTGTGAGAGTGGTGTGGTAGGCTTGTGTGAGGGCTGTGGGGTAGCCTTGTGTGAGAGTGGTGTGGTAGGCTTGTGTGAGGGTGGTGTGGTGGGCTTGTGTGAGGGCTGTGGGGTAGCCTTGTGTGAGAGTGGTGTGGTAGGCTTGTGTGAGAGAGGTGTGGTGGGCTTGTGTGAGGGCTGTTGGGTAGCCATGTGTGAGAGTGGTGGGTGAGGCTTGTGTGAGTGGTGTGGGGTAGCCTTGTGTGAGAGTGGTGTGGTGGGCTTGTGTGAGGGCTGTGGGGTAGCCTTGTGTGAGAGTGGTGTGGTGGGTTTGTGAGAGAGAGGTGTGGTGGGCTTGTGTGAGAGAGGTGTGGTGGGAGGAGGCTTGTGGTTACAGCTTGTGTTGGTGTGTGGTGGTAGGCTTGAGAGTGTTTGGTGGGGAGTAGGCTTAGAGAGTGTTTGGTGGGGTAGGGCTTGTCCTGAGGGGTGGTGGGGAGGCTTGTGTGAGGTGGTGGGGAGCTTGTGTGGTGAAGGTGGTGGGGGAGGGAGGCTTGAGTGAGGGTGGGTGGGGAGGCTTGCCTGAGGGTGGTGGGTAGAGGCTTGTGTGAGAGGTGGTGTGGTAGGCTTGTGTGTGGTGGCTGTGGGAGTGGTGCTGTGTGTAGGAAGTGGTGTGGTAGAGCTTGTGTGAGGAGTGGTGGGGAGGTAGCTTGTGTGAGGGTGGTGTGGTGGAGCTTGTGTGAGGGTGGTGGGAGAAGCTTGTGTGAGGTGTGTAATGTGGAGGGTGGTTGTGTGAAGCTGTGGGGTGGGCTTGTGTGAGGGAGTGGTGTGGTAGGCTTGTGTGTAGGGAGGTGGTGGTGGAGGCTTGTGTGAGGTGGTGTGGTGTAGAGCTTGTGTGAGGGCTGTAGGGAATTGTATGTGTGTGAGGTGGTGTGGGTGGGCTTGTGTGTGAGGTGGTGTGGTGGGCTTGTGGGGGTTGGTGGGGAGAGCTTGTGTGAGGGTGGTGGGGAGGCTTGTGTGAGGTGGTGTGGTGGGCTTGTGTGAGGGGCTGTGGGGTAGCCTTGTAGTGAGAGTGGTGTGGTAGGCTTGTGTGAGGGGCTGTAGAGCCTTGTGTGAGAGAGTGGTGTGGTAGGCTTGTGTGGGGTGGTGTGGTGGGCTTGTGTGAGGGCTATGGGGTAGCCTTGTGTGAGAGTGGTGTGGTAGGCTTGTGTGAGAGAGGTGTGGTGGGCTTGTGTGAGGGCTGTTGGGTAGCCATGTGTGAGAGTGGTGGGTGAGGCTTGTGTGAGTGGTGTGGGGTAGCCTTGTGTGAGAGTGGTGTGGTGGGCTTGTGTGAGGGCTGTGGGGTAGCCTTGTGTGAGAGTGGTGTGGTGGGTTTGTGAGAGAGAGGTGTGGTGGGCTTGTGTGAGAGAGGTGTGGTGGGAGAGGCTTGTGGTTACAGCTTGTGTTGGTGTGGTGGGTGAGGCTTGTGTAGGGGCAGTTGTATGGTTTAAGCATAACTGAAAGGTGTGTAAAACCATATTTACCTCCTTACACCCCAACATGCTCTACATGTAATATCTCTTAATCTACAGATAATCTACTTGATAAAAAGTAACTTATGAGCTGCCACTGATGGCTAATAGTTAGTGAGAACATCTGTTTACAAGGAAGCTGAGATACATCTTGCATGTTCTACCCCAGAATATGTATCATGCTGGAGACTCCACTGACTTGGAAAGCATCCAGTAACTTCAAACTATTTTATCAGAATAAATAAATACTGTGGCAAGAGAAACAGCGAAACATGCACCAGGGACTGATCTACACTGTGTTAAAAGATAATCAGGTGTTGCCACTGAAAATATGTACACAATTCTGAAATGAAATGTATTTTGACTTGACAAGAAATCAACAGAACTTTTGTTTTCAGACAAAAAAACTCCAACATCAAACAACTTAAAACATTTCCAGCTACTTTCAAGTTCCATTATTTTGTGATATTCAGACAGAGCCATTCAGAGTTCCATGTCCCTGGAAGTCTTTTATTGGAACATGCTATTGTTCAGTATTTCCCATAAGAAGTCTTGACAACCATCTCACCAAGGAAGTATAAAGTAACAAATGCTAAATACTGTATTCACACACAGTGAGTGGTACAGGAAACTAATGCAGTGCCAGATGTGCTGTACCCACACCTGGTCATCTGGTCAGCCAAGGCCACCATGTACTGGAGATACATACATGTGTTATCATTAGCAACAATTAACAACATGTGTATCAGCTACTTGTTCTCCAGGAGAAACAAACAGGGTCTACGATATCACCCATATCACCATGTCTCATCTGATATACCCCAGCTGAGTGATACATGCTAGCTGGGAGGTTCACAGTCTGTACAATACCAGGTTCCCCTTCCAAGGCCAACTTAGACTAATTGGAAGTCTGCTGTTACGGTGCATGTTGGCTGCTGATCATAATCAAGAGTTCAAAAAAATGGCTCTCTTTGTCAAACATTTTTTCTGAAACAATCTGAAAGTCGATCATTAACAGAGAATGAGAAATGCCTTCAAAGGTTTAAGCAGCATAATTTGAATTTTAACTACTTAAATTCTTACAAAATTGAATCAAAACAAATATATTATAACAAAAAAAACTTAGTTTTAAATGTCTTTGCTTTTACAGATAATCTACATGGTATCATACTGACGCTAACGCTGGTTGTTACGTGTGATGACACGCTGTGGCCTCCCTACAACACTGAGATAAGGATGTTCGGTAACAATCAATAACAGTTCACAAACCACAGTGTAGGAATTAGATTTTAAGGAGATAAGTCCCACTGTAATGGATGAAGTTGACTGCAATGGTTGTGAATGTCCTGAGAGGGTGACTGGGAAGGGAAACAGATCACCAACAGGATCAGTGGGTGCGTGAGTGAGTGAGTTTAGTTTTATGCCACACTCAGTAATATTCAAACTATATGGCTGCGGCCTGGAAATAATCGAGTCTGGACCAGACAATCTAGTGATCAACAGCATGGGCACCGATCTATGCAATTGGGATACGATGACATGTGTCAACCAAGTCAGACCACCTAATCCCGTTAGTCGCCTCTTACGACAGGCATGGGTTACTGAAGATCAATTCTAACCCGAATCTTCACGGGTCAAACCAGCATGATGAGACAATGTTTACTGAATGTTTATATCTGTTCTGGTTGTTTGTTGTGTCAAATTGTTTGATTGCACTTATGAGAGGAATGGGTACTGATGATACAGAATGACTGACTGACTGACTGAGTTTTAGTTTTACACCGCTTTTTAGCAATATTCCAGCAATATCACGGCGGGGGACACCAGAAATGGGCTTCACTCATTGTACCCATGTGGGGAATCGAACCCAAGGTCTTCAGCGTGACGAGCCAACGCTTTAACCACTAGGCTACCCCCCACCGCCCCTGATACAGAATGAGATCATTACTAACAGTGTCTGCACTCTTACATGCTTTCTACACCTGACTTAAACCTTTTTTTATTTAGAATGGATTTTTTTATATAATGAATGTAATTATCTGAATGAATTACAAAAAAGGAGCAATTAATAACAAGTTGTTTATCTTTCTGTGAAACGAATTAAATGAGTTGTGTAAGCTCAGTTTCAGGTAGTCACTGTCACCTGTCTTAATGCTACTCTCTGATTAGATTCCAGTTTACAATTATCAGCTGATTCAGCAGATTGCAAAATCAGCAACTTACAAAATCAGCAACTTAAGACAACTCAGTAAACACTTTCTTCAGAACTAAACAAACTGCACTACAGAAAGACAGTTCAATGTCCAACACTAGGAAAGTGCCACAATAATAATACTATTTTCACCTTCAATCCTTAGTAAGAAAAGCGAAATATGTCACCAAAATTAATTCTAATACCCGAATGAAGAATCCCTATCCTTTAGACAAAGTTTTACATGAAGTTAATCCCTAACACAAACATTGTGACATGTAACTGAATTGTAAGCATTTGATATAAACAAATATGATAGAGACATGGAGGCTGACCCTTAAAATTAATCATCTCAGGTAAGATGTCATGACATCTCAGTGACATGGACTGTATAAGGGTCATGCTACAAAACAATTTTAGAGTGAGTGAGTCAGTTTAGGTATGCTGCACTCAGCAATATTCCAGCTATTTGGCTGCGGTCTGTAAATAATCGAGTCTGGACCAGACAACCCAGTGATCAACAGCATGAGCATCAATTTGCGCAATTGGGAACCGATGACATGTGTCAATCAAGTCAGTGAGCCTGACCACCTGATCCAGTTAGTCGCCTCTTATGACAAGCATGGATTACTGAAGATCAATATTCTAACCTGGATCTTCATGGGTCAAATAATTTTAGAATACAGAACATGTTTCATTTTTTAACTACCAAGTTGTAGAAGTTAAGAAAGAAGAGGGGTATTCTACAGCCCTGTTGGAGCACTAGTATGACAGTTTAACAGATTAGGTCATAATTTCAATTTTTTTAGCAGATGAACGTTTGACTTGCCTTTGCATGTGTTTGTCAATATTGTCACAGGTGTGGGAAAAGATACACTAACTTTTGATCAGTGATCCATTCACATAATTGTCTACTATGTTGTCTTTATGGAATCTGATGGGGCAGATAAGCAAGACAGATATAACTTTCTGGTGTTGACACTTTATTATCGAAATGAATGTGTTTCTTTTATTACAATGGAGAATAAACAAATCATTTAAAAATATTTACATAAAAGTGTTAATAAATGTATTAAACTATTTAAAATATTGTAACAAAATGTTTTATGTCAGAAAAAGTGAGTGAGTGAGTGAATTTAGTTTTACGCCGTTTTTAGCAATATTCCAGCAATATCATGGTGGGGAACACCAAAAATGGGCTTTACACATTGTACCCATGTGGGGAATCAAACCCGGGTCTACAGCCCGACATGCTAATGCTTTAACAACTAGGCTACCCCACAGCCCCTTGTTAGAAATATGATATGTAAGTAAGTGTTCATTCTTACACAATTTCCTCCACCATCTTATATGTAGTGACATTCAGGTGTAGATGTCACATGGTAGAGCTATGACATCCAGACAATGATATTGCAATGTAGAGACATCACAGTTGGTCACCCCAGCTCTAAGCAGTAAAGCAACAAGTCATAAAATAAAGAAACTATTCCTTCTTGTTTCATAGAAATGACATATCTTTGTATGACATATAATTTGACCATAAGTCTTTGATTCTTGGCTTAACTTCTTCATAATGGTGATCATGTCTCCCACTCACCCCTACACACAGAGATTACAACATTACACCATGTCTGGAAGTATTGTATTAGTATCATCAACCAATATGTTTTGAGGAAATGATTCCTGGCCAGTGCCGGATACTGTCCCATATTTTCAAAAATTCAGAGAAAAATCCTATGAAACAAGTTTTGTAGCCTTAGATACCATGGGAATTAAGGTGTATTGACTGTACTCTATTTCAAGATCCAACCACAAAAATTGCAGCCATTACATTTTTCCGTATAATAATAACCGTGTCTACCTAGACCCATTACATCAGTTTCATGATCCTATATATCCACCAGCTGAATGTTTTACCTTGACTGCATGCATCACACTATCGCCACCAGACGAGGAGTCAGCAGGTCAGGAGGATAAATCCACTGCAACTTCCATAAAGGAAAAACACTTTTTTTTTGGTTGAGAAACAGGATGACAGAACTTTACTGGCTGAAGTCCATTGCTGAAGCACATGACTGTCAAGGGAACGGAAGCCAGGTAAAGAGGTAGGAATCAGTTGCCATGTGGAGTGCCCTCTGGTTCCTGAATGTCTGCATGTAGCTACCCCCAACTGTATAGTGCAGGATCATCTGGGAAGTAGATTCAGCCATGACAACCGCTACAGGCATGACTCGTTCTGGGAGGAGACATATCAGCATGATTCAGGCCTTGAAGCAATTTGAGTGCATAAAATATACACCTGTCACAGTACAAAATATTCTAAATGCTTTTCAAACAGTAACCTGCAGCATACAATATGTGTAGGAATCTTATACAAGTATTCTCTCCAAGACATG